GAGACGCAATAACGCGCACCAACTTTAATTGAGTCAATAATTATATTCACGCACAACAGACATTACCAGCAAGTACAGCCTCCGGTCAAACTCACTACCGTGCTCTTAGGAATGTTAAACAAAAGATTAATTGAATAATTGCCGACATTCTACAAATTAAAAGCTACTAGCAGTCTAGGTCACACGTAAAAGTTGTCTTACTTATACCTCATTCCATTTTTTCAAAGAAATGATTCAACGATATTCGTTTAACCTTGTTAAAACCACAAACCTAATTTAGTAAAGAAATCATTAACTTAGTGCCAATTGTTAAAATGGCACAATTTTCATAAGAAATAATAAAAGTAGAGCAATTTAGGTGAATTTCAAAGGATTTTTTGTGACCGTGTTCGCACGAAATCAACAACGTGGAAATACTATGTAAAGGTTTTAACAAATTTGACAGTTATCTGATTGGGAGTCATCAATTTAATAACTTAGTTCAGCCACAGAACTCGCAACATAACAAAGTCAAAAACGAAGAAAAACACATAACCTACGATATAAATGATGGTGCGATCCTTACGCTAACGCCCATGCCATAAATTAATATACTAACGAAGCCTTTTATTAAATGTTACCTGCTCGTATATGCATTTTATTTCATAATGAAATAATTGTGAGATAGTATCTATCAGTATAATAACGATGCATCAAAGTGATTAAGCGTGAGTGAGGGTCGAGCGAGACAATAGGTGTGCCGCACGCCGCTACGGATCCAGAGCCACGGAGCTGAGCGGAGCACTCGAGGTCCTTTTTGCCACTCTCATTCAGCCACCGTACAGTTATCCCGCGGCCAGTGTTACTGACACATGCAAGGTTAACAAGAGGTGGACGCCCGCAATACACGCCGCATACCACTTAAAACGACATTTACGTTTATCAAACCATTCCGATCAAACAGGACCAACCAAAAGCCAAAATCCGTCTCCAAGTAGGTAACTGGCATAAACACAAAATACATTTTTTTCTTCTTCTTATACCGTGTCACCTACAGCAAAACGTTATTTCCTAGATAATTATTAAAATGCATTTGAGCGGTTACCCACCTGCAACCTTGTATAAAGTTGTGTTTTTCCTTATACCTTGCAACTACACTTGCTGTGTATCAATTAATATCTATCTCGATTTTAGGTTCTGTCCTACAAGATAATCTATTCAACCGAGTAAATAAATTTCACGTCTACATTTAAGTGGAGCGTAAATCGATAAAAAGTGCAGATATCAGAACTAGTCGAACGTGTCGGCCCTCAGCGTCACTGGAATGTTCATCTCATTATGCTCATCGCTGATTAAAGTCAATAACTTCATCGGGTGCGGGCAGCATCGGCTCAATGGCGGCGCTAATGAGGCACTCTTGTCAATGAGCGCGAGTCAGATCTCAATCGAGCCAGACTCTATTCTCTTTTACTTTCAAACGCATGTTCAGGGGGGCGCAGCCCGTAGGCTCCGGTCGTCCACTCCGGAGTGCGCCCCTCCGCGGACTATATTCTTTTTACTCCTTTACGAATGGTCTAGAATGCCTGCATCCCATGTACACGTCTTCCTTCTTTTATTTTTAGTTACTGCGAAAAAGGTAGTCGACCAGTCCTAGCGGCACGGGTCAACGTATTCGAGGCTTTTTACCCCTGACTGGTGCAGCTGTTGCACAATAATAGAGAAATTCCTTGAATCTTCTACATGGGTGATCGAGCTATTTATAACTGCATGAGACAGGAAAATGCAGCGCATGCGCTTTAAATAGCTACGAATCAATTAAACCTTCCCATATTCATTGAATGCTGATAAGCTTAGTCATGCCATGTCGTATTGTAGATTACCCATGCCACAAGGAAGTCTTTTGTGTGGACTAGAAATTGGACTTATCTACGTAAATTAAAAATTAAGAGTGTGAAACCTTATTTTATTAACACGAATCATGTTTGGGGTTACGAGTGCGTTGGTAATTTTAGTGTTTATTTATACTTACTGTAAAATACAGAAAAAAAACTCGCACATAAATATGAGACTATAACTGTTTATTGACTTTCTCATATTATTTAAAGTTTTTCAACCTTAATACCTCTGCGGTTACTTTCTACAGTGACGTAGCGTTACAGGCACTCGGAGTATTGACCAACCCTGTGTCCATTACCGGGGCATTGTAATTAGGTCCATCAAACTAAGTTAGTAAGTAATCTCACGAGTTTGTCTCTTCGATTAAGAGTTCGTTAAACGGTTGCGACTGGATTTTGTTGAACCTACGCAACCACTGAGATAATGTACACGTTAAATGTTTGTTTACTTTAAGTTTACTAAAATACATTTTTACGAGTTTCGCTTAAAAGGTTTTTTCGTAATGCTTGTTTTCGGTAGTACACAGCGATTGTAGCGCTGAAACAAAGGACGGAATGCTGATCAACTTCTCATTTTCCACTTTAAGGGGACATACACAAATGGCATCGCAAAGGCAGACAAGTGAGGCTCGCTCGTCCGAATCGAGTCACTTGCGCCATCGATGTCCTTGCATTCTTTGGAGGTAGAGCAAAATGGTACCGGTTCAATAACCCTTGACAATGTGAAGGGATCAGCTCTTAGGCTAAGAGGCGCGGCAGCTTACGTAATGAAGGCAGGCTTGAGGGTCGAGACCATTTGGCGGTCATGAGGTACCAGCATACCCTTTGCACGCTTAGAAGACATTTCTCGAGCATAAAAATGCATTAACAGTTGAAGGTAATTTGATTGTAAACAATGTAATGTTACTGCATGATTGGCGCGGTTGTCTAACAACCAGCTGGCGTGCAACGTATCGCGGGTTTGATTCTCACACGGAAGAACTCTTTCTGCGATCCACAAATTGTTGTTTCGGGTCTGGGTTGCTGTTATCTGTGTGTTGTTGTATGTTTGTAGACGCACCAAGAAAAATCCTAGTGTTGGTCTACGATTTATCTTTATCTTTTATCTACTCTTTACTATTACTAATATTATAAAGAGGTAAAATTTGTAAGTTTGTATGTAGAGGGTTATCTATGGAACCACTGGTCGGATTGCCAAAATTCTTTCACTGATAGATAGCTACAATGTTCCTGAGTGCTATAGACTATAAAACATCACGCTACGATTAAATAGAGCCGAACAGCGGGTAAAACAGCGCGAGAATAGCTAGTATATAAGACAAAAAATATAATTAAGGCAACAATGTAATCCAATCCACAAGTTAAAAGAATATCAGCGTCGCCTTGTGAATAACTATCCATGTATTGGGGTCAGATCGCATGCACTGTTTATGTACTCACGATGCTTTGTATGCTGAGAGGACGAGGTGTAATATTTGGGCAGCAAATTGTACTTAAGTAAATTTTACAGGCAATCATTTTTGTCAATATTTCGTCTTAAAATACTACGCTTACGTGACAAGTAAACAGCAGTAAAGAATTAGGGATACGCAAGATGTGGGTTCTTAAGAAAACTCGTAGTTTTAGTTCTGCTTAACATACCTGGCAGAGAAAATGAGATGGAGATCACGGGAGGCGGGACAGTGGACAGTGAAATGTTAGAGCTCAATTTTACTTATTTACTATTCTTTGTACATATTTTGCATGATATCTACCAAATTATAAGAGTGATACCACGGCCTCACAGAAAACCGGCATGAAACAACAACAAAACACGTTGTGTTTCGCCGTGTGAGTGAGGTTACCGGAGGCCCAATCCTTCCCCTCCCCCAATCCCTCCTCAATCCCTAAATCTCCAAATCCTTAATCCGTAAAAGGTCGGCAACGCACTCGTAACTCCTCCGTTGCGAGTGTCCATGGGCGGCGCTGATTGCTTACCATCAGGTAATCCGTCTGCTCGTTTGCCGACCTATTACATAAAAAAAAAATATTCAGTGAATAATTAATCACTGCACTACTTAAGGTACTATCGTCATAATTATAATATTTTTAAGAAGATTTCTCATTAATTTTTAATTGAAATGATAATTAATGTAAATAGAAATTCGTTTCTCGCAGCAGTGAGTTCAAACTCGTGGTTCAACGAACCACTTCAGTTCTTAGAGTACCCATAACGTGTAAAGAGATAGATGATTGAAGACTTATTAAAATCTGATTCAGAGTCCTATTAAGAATCGACAAAATATTAAAATTATAAATTATATATTTATATAATAAACATAACAAGAAAAATCATATTAATTAATTCGTACACGCTTATTTTTGTCAGTAGTGTCCTAAAATCAACAATAATCTTTAAAAGGAAGTCAAGTACTTAATAACTCGACGCCTCAACAAAAAATAAATACAATTAATTCATTTAGATGTGGCAAAAACATCGTCCATCCATTTTGTATCCCGCAAAAACTACAAGTTTATTTTTTTACTGCTTGACTTGTTTTGTACAACTCAGCGGTCACTGTAACATGTGAACATTGAACTGAAACCAATTCTTAACATGTACAGAACCACAGATCGGTTTCTTATTCTTAACCGAGTGAGGAGGGCGGCGACGGCGACGGCGACGCCATGTTTGTAAACAAAGAGATCAACGCACGCGAAGTAGGTTAGCGCAGCACCGCGCCGTATGCGTCTGCGCAGCTGAGCAGCGCCCGCCGGCCCGTATTGCGCGGGTCGTGGTCTCCCCACACCGGCAGCCTCTCGAACGGAACGGACGTACTACCATCACATAAACATCATTAATCATCGTCATTCAATTTGAATAACACCCAACCGAAACAAACCACACGCGTACATGTACCCTCGCCCCAGGCTCTCTATGAACTCTGGCTGCATGTTACTTATATTAATTAATTAATCATTGTTTTGTAAATTCTGAAACGTGAGTACTAAATCACATTGTTTATTTATAGTTTATCATGGCTAAAAATAAACAACCACGTTCAAACATTAAGATACAGATAATCAAATCAGGCCAAAGTTTCTGGAGGGCAACAATCGTGCGCTTCCGCAGGAGAAATCGTTACAATGGCCTCTCACAAGCGCGCCGGAAGAAAGTTCCTAGCGATTTGCATAGCACGCGGCGAGTGCGCGGTGAGTGCGCGGCGAGCGACAAGCGAAGGCGATCCCGCTCTCACAAGGCTCGCGATGGCCCACATAGACATGTCTTATAGTTTATTGTCGCGGACCCATTTCCGTGGGTGCACGACCACGACCACCGCCTGGCTCGCGGATCGACACACTTCGCTCACTCCGAAAGTTTCTCCGATAGAGAAACTCACAATATCTAATAGCACCGACATCCGTCTATGCAGATTTCCAGAGCAAGCCTTCATAGAGACTGTGACCTAAATACGGACTGCACAAAACGTACACGTGGAGAGAGGCTGTTTATCTTACGCACTGACAACATCTTTCATCCTCCGCGTGAGATCGCTTTATTGTCAACGGTCGGGTCATGCCGAGAGAGTGCAAACACCATGAACACAGGTTAAAAATAAAATTGACAGTACACTCAGAATCAATGACAGCATCAACTCGTTTTCATTGGAAATGGCTGGTGGGAAGAAAAACTTGCACTAGTGTTACGTTAGAAAGCGCAGGCATTTCACCATAAAGCCTAGAAAGTGTACATAAGAAGAAAGTGAAGAAGTAGGGGAAAAAATGTGCAATACGAGTGCACGGAGGCGCGGGAACGTGGAGCGGTTAGAAACAATACGCACTCGTTCCGAATCTCGGAGTTTCCAGTTCGATCGCCATCACTTTTTCTCCCTAGATGAAACCGCTGCACTCGCTTGCACACATTTCTCGACACTCCACACGTTTGCCTAGTTCTTGTATCAATGCACTCATTTTTACTTTCTTTTCCGTTCGCTCTTGTTCGTTTGTTTCTCCGCGTGCTTCCATACTACCATTGCTATCTAGGTACATTGATCGACTCCCAATGAAAATAAAAACAGGCGCTTTCGTATTCCATACAATGCTAGAGCGATAATTGGCTCTAGAATTTTCGATGATGGTAACCTATTGACTTTCTCGATGCTATTCGATTAAGTGTCAATTATGTTTGTGTTTATAAGAATAACAATTGAAATATAACAGGTTAAAGTACAAAACCTAACAGCTAAAAAGCTCATAGTAACTTACATTTTAACCATGATTTTGTAGAAAAAAAAACGTCAACTGGTGAACAATAAATGTCGGAATGAACATTAATTTCCCGGACAGAGTTTGCCTGAAAGTGAAAATCGAACATTGTAGACACATACATCCAGTGTGAGTACATGCAAGACGTAGATCACGCTACGCACGAGCCGCACATGCCGATGCGGTTCTAACAGTCATTTGTCGCTTTTTTATTACGTGATCCTGCCTCCGACACGAATATAGGTATCTATTAGAAGAGAATGAAGATCGAATATTCTGTTATTACTTGATATTTTAATGACAGTTTCTTGTGTCAGTTCCGTTGAATAGTTCGGATGGTCACATGCGAGCGATAAATCCGAGAGAAAATACAAACAGTTGATTCAACACGGCATACATGCACTTTATATGCAACTGTCGATTCGTATGCACAATTACCAACTGAAATTTAGTACTTAAGACTAATACGGTTATAGTTAGCGATTAGTGATAGTCACGTGTTGTGTAAGTTTTGTTTTGTTTTATATGTATTAAATCGTTTGGTCCAAATCAGATGTTCTGCGTGTGTGCATGTAAAGGCCGCGTCATTAGCCGTCACATGTCACGGTGTGGACTGTTGTGGTCGTACGCCGCGAGTCGGGAAAGCCGTCAGTCGCCAAGCGACGCGGCGACGTCGAGAGAAAGAGTGTGAAGGAGAGAGATGGGCATTTCACCGCGCGGGGTCAACGCGCTCGCTATACTGTCGCTGATTGTGCCCCAATTGCAATATGTGGGTCTAGGCCGGCGTTCGTCGACCCGCGTGACACACTTAGCGGCGCCCGCGCACGACCGCGGTGCTTTCACGCCCCACGCGCGGGGTGGGGGTACTGCACGGAAAGCTGAGAAAACTTACCACATGGGCGGGCAACGCTTTGGCCGCGGTATATCTAATGTATTATGTATTTATTCTACGTAGTATGCGCACTATCCATATTTGTCTTGTATTTTAACATTTGTAAATACATCATACTTTTATGAAAATCATTGTATGAGGTTCTCACGTGATACAATCTTGAAATGCCCTAAATAAACTGGTGTATCATATCGGCTGACCTTACTATTGTAATTATATAAACAAACAAACTGCCGAATATAATTAGAAAGGAAACATTTAATTAAATGCAAGGTTACAAAGTTTATCTAATGATCGTTAAAATGTTTAATTGTTTAACGTTCAAAACATTGTATTTAAGGAGGTTTGATTGACCGAAGAGATATCCGACATCAGTCACATTGTCTTTTCACATAATGGAGTGGCCACATATTCTGTATAAAACGATGCTGATAAAATTGCTGCTCAAACAAATGAACACCGACCTCGGAAACCACAACTATTGTTATATTTATTATAGTGTTATTTCTCACTGTATCAGCTGCAGGTAATTGTAAATAAGTACTCTTTCTTTAAAAAGAAGGTTCAGTTCATATGTAACATTGATAATATTAATAACCCACAACAATGCGACTGACATTGATCCTTATGGGAATGCAGCTCAATTAAGCGCAGTGGGCCAGCTAATGCGACTAATGAATAACTATAGTTTACACGATAGGCGTTTGTTGCTCGTTAGCTAGTCGGAGAGAACAAGGTCGGGTGATGTGGAGCAAGGTCAATGTGGACGAAGTCTTGAAGTGATAGCGCGACCTCTGCATTCATTATCGACTCGAGATCACAACGTGCGCCAGATGCACACTACATTTCTACCAGGAGATGACAACAATAAGAAATATTTTATTACACTTATGTGCTGTGCGCTTACTAGTAGTAATCGCTTTCGATAAGCAGAAATACAATTTGCTGTTTGATAATATAAAATTAATTGGAAGCACGTTTTGCTGCACCTCCACATAATATAATATAATTAAATTTAATAATAACACGATTGTGAATTTACAGCGAATTTATTAAAATGGAATTATTGTAACAAGCATTCACTTCTCCATGAAAACTTGTACAGCTTTTTACGTACCGTTATAATATAATTTTTTCCAAGATGCATTACTTGCAACCTACATTCGCCTATACCTTTATGGTATAATTATGACTAAAATACATAAATAGCACTCTTATAATTGCTGTCTATTTCGAGCAATTGAAAAAGTGGTTGGTACTGTCTAAAAGCTTTCAGTGGCATCATGGTATCCATTAATCACACCAATAAGTAAAGTTGAAACAAAAAGTAGGCTGTCATGATAATTGATGGCATTCGCTACACTGTCACAATTAAATGGTGGTTCAAATGGAGCAGGTGTACAAAAAACAAAGTTCTTGGAAGCGAGAGAGCGTTCAAGGAACCTGTTATGTTGGTACCTGAATAACATGAGACGACTAAATGCATTTTGCGCATAGTCCAATGATGTCATCCAGGATATTCGAAATGTAAAAAAGGATACTGTGAAAAAATACTATACAACTTCACTCTCACGAGTTGACATTGGTGCATTTACTTGTAAATGGGTGATAAACGTGACTGCAACATTAATAAGAGTCCCGTGTTGAGTTGAAACTAGTAGAGCTTTCTCAGTTAATCCACGTAATTCGTTATAATTAATTATTAGGTAACCTCACGGTATTTACTCTACGAAGCTGGTACTTAAAGTTCTTTTTAAAAAAAAAACATATTAAAAATATGAGAAGTCTGTACAATAATTAAATTTATAGTTTCCAAAACAGATCACGAATGTATGAATATCGTACATGAACTTTGATTTTACCCAAGAAAAGACAATAGCAACTAATGGTATTTCTAAATATTACAAAAGAAAATAAGTTAAATCAAATTATCACAAATAAAAAGATCATTTGTGGGGCGTTCGAAACATTTGGTGCATAGTAAGATCTAAGAGAAGGCGTGAAAAAGATAACTATGGTCAAATTTACATATGAAATCTCTCAGATTATACTAATATGAGTGGGAAAAATTATAGTGGGAACCTTTTTATATTCCAGATGTTTAAACAACAATACCAATACATTCGATACGTGTTCAAAACTTTTCATAAACTTATTATTACCTATTGGAAAATATTTTCAGTTAGTCAAAAATACATTTATTTTTTGCCCACAAATTACTTTAACTACTCAAAACCAACATTGTTTTATTTTTACAATTCTTAGAATTAATATTTTTTCAATATATCTGTAATTCTTGCTCTTATTTTACTGAAAGGCGTTCTGAGAATTCTTGAGAATAAGCCCTAAAGTATGACGTCATGACTCAGGCTGCTAAGCTGATTTGGATCGCAACAAAGTCTGAGTCTGCGTCACCCAATGGGAGCAAAAAGTTTAAGCGCTTATTTTTCATTCAACCCTTGGGATGACCGCTACGTCATCGAACAGACGTAAAGGATGATGAGTCATATGTTTTTCTATACAGGACTTAGAATACATTAAGTCCTTATACGATGAACCGCAATTTTCTCGGTACAGTTGAGTGCATTAATCCCCGCGGGTGTAATGAAAACCGATTAGGAGATTGCACTTTTAAAAATACCAGGCAGCAGGACTATCAGTCACACCTGTATTTTAAACCACAATCTCAATACCATTATCAGTAACATTACCTATTATTTATTGAATCATATTTCCAAGAAATCCGTTGTCACTACCGCATTCAACATTATTTTTTTACGAAAAAAGTCTTGTACTTATTATTCTGCGTGTTTATTAAATGTCTTAGGTACCAGCTAAGTGTATTCAGCTGTGTATAGAAAAGTAGCTTTCTGAATTATGATTAAACACATTTGAAAACTTTTACTACCTTTTTACTAATTACTAAGTGATGATACAGTTTCTAATGAAAAAAAATAAGTACATGGTCTTATAAGAACTTAATGGTTATAAGGGATTTTAGCTTTAAACCTTCCTTTGTTGATAGGAAGCATTCTCAGTCATATTTTAAATAAAATAAAAAAATAAAGAATATTATGAACATTGGATAGAATAATTTCTCAGTAGAGTATGACCACGGATTCAAAACCTCAATATACCTAGTTTATAATTATAAGTTTAAAAAGCCGATCCGCCTGGAACAAGCCTGGTGATTAATGGCCATCACGAAGTGAAGAGGCCTTTGCTCATCAGTAGGCACATACATAGGCATGTAATGATGATACTACAAATAAAAACAAAATAGCTTAGAGCTATCTGACGGTAAACGGTGGATGTTAATATTATAATTGGGTATCAAATTGGTAAAAAATATAGAAATAAACACAGAAATTAGAAAAATACGTGTATTGCTCTTATATAATACAGTTTATATCTGCAGATGGTGTCAAACATTTCAATCCAATTCCTTCAGGAAATATCGTAGATTGAAAATGTCATTGGTCCATTGATCCTCAAAAAGTCACTTCGTTTTGGGTCTTCTCCGTTGGTCGTAGCAGACAGATGGTTTTGGTTGTTGTTAGCTTAGTTGAGTTCTTCGGGGAGGGCGACAACGGGGCCAACCTCAACTTCGGGGAGGACGGGCTCGGGCATGACGACGGGCTCAGGGACGACGACCTCGGGGAGGACTGGCTCGGGCATGACGACGGGCTCGGGGACGACAACTTCGGGGAGGACAGGCTCGGGCATGACAACGGGCTCAGGGATCACAACCTCGGGGAGGACTGGCTCGGGCATGACGACGGGCTCGGGCACGACGACGTCGGGGAAGACAGGCTCGGGAATGATGACTGGCTCGGGGATGACAGGAACGTCATTGACAGCCTCATCGACAATATGGACGGGGGAAGGCTTGATGGGCTCAGGGACGATGGCGGGGCCAACGGCGACGTCGGAGGGAGCATCGACGTTCACGATGATCTGCACGAGGGGCAGAGGGTTGGCGGCAGCCACGGCCAGCAGGGCGAACAGAGCAACGAAGGATTTCATTGTGAAGGGTTGAGGTTTTTACTGTAACAGGAGAATACATGTTGTTATTGGATCCAACTATGTTGCGACTGTGTTATTAATTGGCAACTACATACCTATAATTATTAAATGTGTTTGGATGAAATAGAACTTATTATACAAGTAAGATTAAGGTTGAATTACAATACAATACATTGATCTTACAGTTATTTTGGTATTTTGAAAAAGGCATAAAGGAGGATTATTAATGTTGTTAGACCAAAATGATAACAAGAAAAAATATTCCATTGAGTTTAAAAAGAAAATGATCTGAATTTTTAAAAGAAATAATATTTAATTATTTTTACTCACCTTGCTTTGTCAAAGAGCAAAGAAAACTATAATTTCCAGAGTGACAACGCTCAGTTTTTATACAAAATGTAAAGCCATAAAACACGTATTGATACTTTATCAGATTATTACAATTGTGGATTAATTTATATCGAAAATGTAAAGACTGCTAATAAAATATATGTTTAGTAGGCTCTTCCTGTTTGTTATTATATTATACATAATTACTGAGCAGTAGGCAAAGGAAAAGGACCGCCAATCCACCTTGAGCAGGCGTGGTGATTAATACTCAAACCTTCTCCGTGTGAGAAGCTAATGATTATGATGGCGATGGCGCAGAAGATTTTACCAGTTCTTTCCATAACGTTATATTAACCTTCTTTAATAAGGAAAACTTTTAGCAACTGTTGTTTCGCGACGATTTACTAAGGCCCGTGGTGTCCCTCGGAATGAGTCGTATCGATCGCTGAAATATAAAAAATCAAATGTGAGGTACGGCGTAGTGACAATAAGTGATGAAAAGTTCACAACATTCATTTATGAAACTTTTTAGTAGATTTATCATAGGTAGGTATATCGCTCATGTATATAGCTCTCTTCTATTACCTACTTCAAAAGGGTGTGCAGTATATATTTCCATAAAGGTTATAATACTATATTCATGTATATTAAATTATATATATTAAATTAAAATGTTTCAGTCACGCTCGATTCCTAGTATACAGCCATTGGTTCGTCCTCTATTATGTTCACTAATAACATAGTGAGGTCGTTCACCCTAACCAAGGTACCAATGAATGTAGGTCCTTGCATTACGAACTCGGTGAAATGCATAGAATACTATTATTGCATACAATTTCACTTTGTACCTACCTTTGTACAGAATTAACGATATATGGAATTTCGTATCATTTTTTATCACTCCGTTGAAATAAGTTATTGCTAGCATGACTGTGTCTTTTTTATTTCTTTAGTGAGGGGAAAATCATCAAATTAGTACTCCCATCCAGGTTGAAGCTGAAACACACAAAGATCCCTTAGGCTATTTATTTTTTTTATTCTAAAATTAAATATTTCCAGCAGCAGCGTGGAGTCTGAAATTGTATCATAAATGTAGTCCTAAGTTGAATTGCTATTATATGGCGCATAACACCACTTGTTAAGAGTGGGTGGCAGAGGACTCTTTGGGATGTATTTCGTTTCTTTCGTTCTCCATTATATATAATTAATCAAACTGATCCATATAGTGATTGATTCCTCTACCTACTTAAAAGAAAATCATTTTAAAATTTGATAGGCTACCTTTGTAAATCCAGGACGTCAAAATGATGCCACAGAGAGAATGTCGAAACAATGCAACGCGAAAGTAAGGAACGAAAGGTCGGAAGCAAGCCCGACCTATCACGATCAAATAAAACGTATGCACCTCTGTGTGGGTCTTGTAATGTAAGTGCTTCCTAGGTAAATATCTTCAATGGAGCATTACACTACATATCAATATCGTAACGTCCACCCTTTTAAAAACTGCAGCAGTTTTTAACCCAAATAGAAACTGCAGAACGGTCATATAGCAACACCTCTGTCCATTATACAAGTGATATAAGATGTCACTCATTTTCCTTCAATTATGCTATAAGTCTTAGTCATATAAGTATCCAGGGCTATTGCCAAGTACTGCGATCAATCCTAGACGCCGTGGTATTTTTGAAATACTGAAACAACTGTGAAAAGACGTCACGCTTCACGACCGCCAATCCGACAACAAGAGCAGATGAACAATTTTGTTGTGACGTGTGTCCTATATACCTATATACATTTATGTTTATGTTTGAATATGTACAGTCAGGGGTCAAAAATGCAATTGCACTCTACCAATTTTAAAATGACCAAAATATCTTTGTAGAATAGAGTCAATGGTTAAGGACTGCTTTAATTTATACTAAGAATCTAAATTATTGAATAAACTGGCTGTGAACCATTGAGCTTTTACTACAAAGAAATTTCTGTCATTTTAAAATTGGTAGAGTGTAATTGCAATTTTGACCCCTGACTGTACATACATCGATACGATACGATAGCCATACATAGCAGGCTTTTTCAAATTCTATATGTAGAATGAGATTGTACAAATAAAAAATCACAATAATTTTATCGACCATTTTCCAGTAACTTCGCAAATAGTGAGACAAACCCGACTTGGTTTTAAAACACAGCTCTCAATCGAGGGAAACAGTAAATAAGTTCAAGGCGCCAGGTAAATTCCCAGCTAAATAGTCACGTACGCAGCAAGTATGTATGAAATCCGGTTAATTTTCATTTAACATTTGTAATTGAAGCGTAGGTATTTAAGAGTGTATGGTATACATATGTAAAAAGTTTCAATTTTGTTCGTAATTATCTTCTTTTTGCGGCTTCACTCACGTTACTCGGATGAAAAGTAGCCATATTAGTAGGATCTTCTATGATAACTATGCTAATATTTTATTTAGCTTACTAGTTGATTAAATACTTTTCTATATAAACCTTTACGACTTATAATAATAAAAGTAAATTTTTGAATCATCATAATTATCCATCTTTCTCCTCTACCTACTAATTAACTTTTTTTGCTGGTCTTGTAAAGCTCTCTTAAATAGAAATTAGTAAATACTGCTTATAGTATTACTAGAACTCATATTTTTTAAAACCCTTATCTTTTTTATTACACACTTTATAAATCTGAATTTAAATAAAGATTTATGAAAAAAACTATTTCATATTTTTTTCATCCCCTATGTTTTTAGCAAGTACTGCCCAAAATACACTCATTTAAGGAAGAGTTTTATGTTATACCGATAATGATTATATTTATGACATAACCAATATATGACTGTTAAAACTCGTTATCGACTAAATCAAATTATCAAAAAGCAGTCTTATGACATTAGGGATTAGGATTAACTTTTAGTTATTTAAGTACGGTGCGTCACGGAAGGAAAAAGTCTACAAAAATATAAAACTACATAGGTATTAAAGGTTTTATTTTATAAACTCTGTAGAGATAGGTAATATGATGCATACAACAATTTAAATATACCGATCATTTAATCCTCGATACTATAGTTATAGATACTATAATTGAAAAAGTCTAAATCTAAATTCTTAACTTATTCCATTATTTGACCCGAGAAAGGGCATTTCCATACAAGTTAAGAAAAATGAAAATGTATTAGATCAAAATACTGAAATCGATATAGGTTGAATTAAAAATAACCACCAGGAAATAAAAATTATAGCTTATGAAAATAACTGAATGAAAGCCCAGTCGGTACCAGTCCTACGTGCGTCTGCATTGGAAAACTCGGAAAACTAGCGAGCGAACTGACCACTCGGCTTGAGAAACATCGTGTCTATCCGGTGGCTTCCACTCGTATATTACATTAAATCCCGTATATTTCCCCTGTAGGCTCGTTAAATTTGTGGTGTGTAGTTGGAAAGCCTGCGCAGGCGCCGGCTACGTGAGCGCATGTACCTCCCGCCACGTTTCGCGTGGAAACTGTGCCACGTCGCGCCTTCTCTCAGTAAAAGTACTTTCTTCAAGCCGCTTTCGGAAACTCGTCTAGAACAAATTTCCTCGGTATAGTAACCTTGTACTATGTGACATAAGGCGACGCCTGCGCATGCACTATAATTAGACGTGTCGGCCGTTTATAGCGTACTGAGAACCCGCAATCGATACTGAGCGCCCCGCCTCGCTCGATCGTGAGAATTATCGTCGTAACATTAAACTGCGCTCCTCTGTACGTGAAACAATAGGATCTTACGATGATTCACTGCAATAATTTAGTATTATAATAAAATTATGAATAAACTACAAATGCCTTGTTAATATATTATACGGCAGCCAGAACACGCCTTTCAGGTGCCTTCGATTTATTATAATGGCCTCGTTCAATAAATCTTGCAAGCCTTAGTAAAATATTTAAAAGTCCTTGTTGCTTATCTTTGTAATTCTGCTCAAAGTCACTTCTGGGATTTTCAACATGAAGATTCTGGGGGAAATAGCACTCCTGAGTTTCCTTAATTAACATATTTAGTTATATACACAATGGCTCTTTTAGCTACTCAAACAACTGAATAGTCACAGGTGAACTTGCAAGATATTATTTGATAAAATTGAGTTAAACTGTAAAATAAATTGACTCGCACAAAGTTAATAATAAAAGCTGTCAAACTTGCCAATTCAATATTATGTTCAAATATAATACTCGTATTTCTGATCAAATTCAATAATAATTTCTAATTGATAAAATTGACTATTTATAAACTTTATACAATACTTTATGTTGGTTGTTGTTGGACGCTGAGCTTAAGAAAAATAATTGTATCGTTACTTATAAATATCGAAAATTTTGAAATGAATTGTGTTTTTTACTTATATTTTTTGGAATTAAAAAACCAAACTGGGAATCATAATTTGTTTCTAAATACGTAATATAGATATCAATTTGTTATTTAAACAATAGATACAAAGGTATACGTCATGTATTACAATATATTTTGCCGATATTACGATTAAGATTAAACTGTGACATATGAATTAGAAAATGAAATATTGCCTATGAATTAGTCTTTATCTATCTGTTAACTATCTATTAATTTTATTTTACTCATTTATTTAAAAAGGTTGGTTCTATGATACCCAAGTGAAGGATTTGAAAGCGCTTCTAGGCTAAGCGCGACTAGGTATTGAATTGCAATATTTTTTGGTTTTTAAAATAATCATAATCTATTTGCAGACTGCTGCATTTTCCAAAAAAGCCATAAAAAAAATCCATGTAGACATGAGTCTAGTTATAATGACAACTAACATTTTTGTTACCCACATATTCAAAAATATCAGATCTTTTTTTCCATTAAGTCAGTATTCTTTTATATGACAGGGTGAGAGAGAAACTTTTTTCATTATTAACAGAAGACAAAACTCAGTACCTTACTAAACGGATTACACAATACCATTTATAACAGTCACGCCTTACCTTAACATGTAGAAACAGACTTAAAATTTCCTCATAAACTTAGGTACACAAATAAATAAAACGCTTATATTCAAAGAAGATTGATTTTCCCTCGCCCGTAGACTTCATGTATTAGCCGGAAATCAAAA